TAGACAGCAGCCCGTGAAGATCCCCATCCTTGAACCACATCCAGATGCATCCATCAAGAGAGGACTGCTGCCTTCCGACTGAGGCCAGGTACTGATCCAAGCGTAGCTCCCATAACCTCGGAGCGTCCTTCAGACCGTAGGCGCCCTTGAGAAGCTTGAGCAGGTGCGTCATCTTGCTGGCACCCTTGAACGCTGCGAACTGCAACAAGATGGAGAAGACGTCTGCCGGTGGATCCAGGCACGCTTCTCGCATGACCTCCGCACCCCGCTCATTGATCTCTGTGAAGCTGAGCCCTCGTAGGAACGCATTGCCGATGTCCCAGCTGAAGATATCCCAGCCATACTGCACTCCAACACTGAGGACGAGGCGCTGCGAGGTGCGTCTTGCGGTGAAGCTGGCTGCGTCAAGGCCGCCCTGCTGCTGGTCCATGAAGCCTCTAATGACCAGGCGCGCTTTGACAGCCTTCGCGCCGTCGATGTTCTTCCACCGCAGCACCCAACGTCCTGTCGCGACGTCCTTGCCAGCTCCCCTAGGCACGGGGCAGAAGGCCTCGAGCTCCACCCAGGACTTGAGCTCCTTCCTTGGCCGAGATCACGTCCTTGTGGTGGATGCGCTCCTCCTCCTTCGTGAGGTTGCGCATCTCCCTCTCGATGAGGAAGCACCAGCTCGGCCTGGAAGAATCCCATCGTGCTACGAGACGTCCGTCTCGCCAGTCGCCCACGTGGGTGACGAAGTGGCCGCACTCCATCCAATGAACTAGGAAGTCTTCGAACTCGATCTCTGGAGGCTCGCTGCCGGTGACGTTCGGCTGAGGAACTCTAGACAGTGCTTCGCTCACGTTGAAGAAGTCCTTCGTCTCGATGATTTGTCTGCTGCAACGACGGCTGACCGCAGCCCACCAAGCATTGACGTAGAGGTTCTCGTCACGCACTTCCTCGTCGTCGTCCTCCGAGACCTTGTCGAGGCGGCCGCCGTCTTCGTCATACAGGATGGTCTCGAGCTCAGCTTGGTCATCATCGCCAGGAACCTGAACTTGCTCGGCAGCAGGTGCTGGAACAGTCGGCCCACTGCTTGACGAAGCTCCTGGCGTAGACGTCGGTGGTACGCTTCGAAACTCGAGGCTCGTCACTGCTAGCCAGTGGCGCAGTCGTTGCAGGCGCTGGAAGCGAACAGATTTGTCAGATCTGCTCCTTGATACCGAAGGCGTGGGTGTCTGTTGTCGTGGGTCCATGGGCTTGTCCGGGGTGAGCATCTCCTGGTCCGGTCCAGGAAGATCTGGAGGATCTCGAATCGCCTCCGGTATAAATGAAAGCTTTCGACTCCGGCTTCGCTCGCTCTGTGGAGGCGCACGACCACGACTGACGTCAGGAGGTGCTGGTGGCTGTGGAGGTCGCGGTGGCAAGCCTGCCGGGACCATGTCCTCGTCGGAGTCGTCGTCCAAGCTGCCCATGGCCCTGTCCATATCGATGTCTGGTGATGCACGCTCTCGTCCCTCACGCTGTATGACTCTCGCGTCCGTGTCCGCTAAGGTGAGGAACTGCACCCAGTAGGTGTCGTGCCAACGCCCGCCGAACACCTGCGTGGAGTCAAGACGGCGTGTCTCTTGCCACTCCAGGTAGCTGTAGCCGCCCTGGCCAGTGCACCAGTAGACGAAGGGCGCGAAGGAGACGGCGCCCATCTCCGGAATGGTGTGAATGCCGTAGCCCACTCGGATGCCCACGCAGTTAGCGAGATCCATGTGCATGTTGGCGATCATGAGGCCTCGAGCAAATATCCCAGGATGAAGTCGAGCTCCCTGAGATATGATCCAGCCCTGCGCTGCGTAGACCCAGCCGATGACGATCATGCGACGGCCGAGTTCGCTGACGAACTCACGCAGCGGGGCCCACTCGTCTGGGAACGGCAGGAAGAAGCTCGACCAGAACGTGGTGTGCCGCCTCACGTCCTGGAGCCTGCAGATGAGCACGCGGCCGCCCCAGCGCACGTGGACGATGCCGTCGTTGAGCGTCTCCTCCGTGGCGTCCACGATCTTCGCCGGGCCTCTCCAGCCGTCGAGGTCCTTGTTGGGCGGTGTCTGGAAGATGCCCACGAGGTCGCCCGTCTTGTACTGAAACTTCTGACCAGCAGGACGCGTGCGGGAGCGCTCGGATATGATGAGGCGCTCGGTCGCCGTCTTCTCGATCATGCTGGAGAGAGCAAGCTCGCGCGCACGCGATCGATGAAGATGCTGTTGATCTTCCTGCTGGGTCGTCGTGGGAGTCTCGAAATCCTGGAGCAGATTGGGCGTCTCGCCCAGAACAGCCTCGCACGGTGCGGTCCTGCCAATAGTCATCAGAGCGTTCTTCGCATAGCATGATTCGCGTACGATCTGCTCGGGCTTGATGATGATGCCCTCGCGGTCGCACTGCTCCTTCAGGCGATGGCAGACTCCCCGAAGAAGTTCAAGATGTCTCTCGACCATCTGGCCGTGTTGGTCCACGGCCCTGAGCTTCCTGTGGATGGCGTGACGTTCGCACATAGCCATACCGGCGTCGTGCGCGAAAGCTCCCTCTTGGTCGATGATGAGAACACGCGGGGGCCCAAAGATCGCGATCCACATGTCCTCAAAAGCAAGAAGAATATCACCTTCTTCTCGTGGAGGAACGGCTCGAACTGCCGTCCATCTGGTGGCCTCGCCCAGCACGTGCAAGATGGTAAGCTGAAAGATGGAAGAAGTCCACCTGCACGACCTGGTTGAACCTGGTGGTGAGCCGCACTGCCGACATGGATTTGGCAGTGGGTCGCTGCCACATGTGGCAGACCTTGCAAGCTCGAACCACGGGAGCCACCATGTCCTAGATTCGCTGTCCAATCCCAGCGGCCTCCAGCAGCTCGATCAGCTGGTCCGCCGACTGGTGGTAGTGTCGTACATGTAGGCGCTGAATGACGCGCTTGACCTGGGCGTCGTTGCCATTGCGCAAGACCTGCAGCGACCGCCCCAAGTCGAACCGTGACCAGTCCGGCTCGTCCCAGGCGTCGGTGGCCTGGGTTCCGATGGTGGCAGTGCTGCGTCTCACTGGTGCTGACGGTGATGCCGAAGGTCCCGATGATCCCGAAGCCTTTGGATTCGTCGAGACAACCGGTGGACCCGAAAGAGCCTCGCGGATGCGAGCATCGCTGGCTGCTCGAGCCTCGGCCGGATCCAGCTCCGGCTCGTCGCCCTCCTTCGTAGGGTCTCCAGGTGAACCCCTGCCAGGGGCGGGAGTCCGCGGAGGCGGCTCTGCCTTCTCGCTGCTCTTCGGCTCGGTAATATCGCCAGCGGATGCTCGTGGAGCTGCCTTCTCGCGTTCCTCGATCTGTTTGGTACTCCACCTGCACTCGTCGTCCTTGAAGGTGTGGCGAGGATCCCAGCGATTGGCCTTGACCTTACAGGCAGGGCAGGTGAAACGGCGATTCCGGACGCCGCGTGCGGCCGCTGCTGGGATGTCTGGATAGAGGCACTCGCCGACGACCCTGGCGTGAGTGAGTAGGGTCGCCCTTGCGCTGCCTGCGCCTGCATGCCAAGCAGCCAGCAATCGCCAGCTCCTCGGCCGTAGGGCACGCCCCAACTGACTGCATATCCAAGGCGCACTTGATGCCTCTGGCGAGCAGCTGGCAGAATCGCTTCGGCCAGACCTGGGTGTAAGACGAGCGGCCGTTCTCGTTGATCTGAGGAACATGCCGTGGCGAAACTCCAGGGCAGCGTAGTATCCGAAGAGGTCGAATGATCTCTGGCTGGTTCGCGACAATGAGCGCATCCTTCCGGATGAGCCGTACTCTGTGTTCGTCGAAAGGGTCGCGAAGCCCAGCTGCATGCATCTGGATCTTGATGCTGTAGACGTCATCTCGCCCAAGCAGTGCCTCCCAGTATGGTAGCTTCCACATCTCGCTCGCAAACGGGTTCTCCACGACGAAAATAGAACCATGGAAAGCCTGATGCTCAGCAACTTGCGCAGCCAACCTGGCGAGCTTCTCGCCGATGGCGCGGTTGCGGCGCCAGGTGCCCCGACAGCGGGGTCGACGTCGATGCACGCGCGACCACGGGCTGAAGGCGGTACACGGCGGGGTCATGACGATGACGCGTGGGCGGCACTTCATGATGTAGTACCACAGCTGCCGCGCGTCTACTTTCAGCGTCCAGTCGCAGCCGGTGCTGATGTCAAAGTTCTGGCCGCCCCTCAGGCCCAAGCGCACACTGAACCTGGTCGTGCCCGCCTCGCCGCCGTAGATCTCCATAATGTCGATGGTCGACTCGGCGAGGTAGTGCTCGAGGTCGTGGAAGCTGTCCTCGTAGTAGCACTTGGTGTCCGCCGGGTCGTCGATCTCGTCGTCAATGCAATAGAGCTCGTCGGCCTGGGTGGCGCACATGACGGCGAAGCTGGCGACGACCGCGACGCGCTCGGCGCGCCACTCCTGAGAGAACTCGCCGCGCTTGTCCTTCATCAGGAGCGGGGTGAAGTCGTCGCCGCAGTCTCCCGAACACTCGTCTGGTAGTACGAGCGTCGGTTTAGCCCGCTTCTTGGTTTTTGTGACCACCTCCGCCTCGAAGATGAGGGGCTTGACCGTGGTGGTTGCCGTAGTAGAAGCCGAAGTAGAAGATTATGATGCACTATGGTTGTACTTCTCGCTCTCTTTACTCCTTAGTTGCAGAAACTTCAGCAGGTCGAAGTGAGCTGCCATGATCACCTGCTCGGGGTACTCCCTGGATGCCTTGTTGCGGTCCAGGGCGTTGGAAGACTGAAAGCGCTTCCTCGTGGCTTGGTGTAGATTCGCTAGTTGGCAACATTGTGCCCGGTAGCTGCCAGCAGGCCAGCCACGACAGAGGCGCGGCAAGTCAATGGCGGTTAAAACTCGTCGAACTCGATGCCAAGGTCGGCCCATCACAGGGTCGACAGCTCCCAAACCGCACCAGGAATACTTCCAATGCTTGAGTCGCTCGTGTGCAAGCAGTGGTTGAAGCTCTGCTTGCTTCCAGAAGTGGCTGCCAGCGGTCGTGTCGATGACGACGTGAAGGTCCTTGTGCAGCTGACCGCGGACGAGCTCGGTGACGTACCTGGCCAGCTCGCGGCCCTTGGCGCTGCTGGTGCCTGTGGCCGCGCCCTGAGGGTCTAGCCACAAGACCTGAGCTGGCTCCTCTCGAACTTGTCGGAGTAGCACAAGTTGGTGAGTCCGCCACAAGAGGTTCCACTTCGTCGTCAGGTCGACTGGTGACCTGGCGCGCATGCCGGCGGCCTGTTCTTCTCGGTGAACTTGCAGGAGCCTTCCCTGACATGATAGATGTTGTGATCTCCGTCTCCCGCCGGTGGATCAGGCGTCGTTGAAAGTTGTCTGCGCTCGTCGAGCCAGTCGCGGGCAGACTCCTGCCAGTCCAGGAGGCCTCGCGGTGAAGCACTCGTAGGAACAGTCGACGTGCTCGACGGTGCAGTAGAAGGGGTAGCTGCCGAAGACGGTCTCGAAGTGGTACTGCGGGGGATTGCTGATGGCACAGCCGAGCCTTGCCCCCGCTCATTGCTCGGCCCGCCGAGCCCTCAAGGCGGCGTCGGAGCTGCGGAAGGCACCGCAGCGCCGCTACTGTCCAGCTGACAGCGCGCCCCGTAGAGGACCCACTTCGTAGAGGACTCGATCATCTCCTTGTCCTGCTCCTGGAAGTCTGACACGGGAATCATAATGTGCCCCGAGATCACGTTCTCGCACCGTATCACCTTGCTGCCGGGGCTGAGAGTCATCGAGAAGCCTCCAGGGCCAGGGACGATGACCGCGTTGCCGCCGGTGTCGATGATGGCGCGCGACTGCTTCTGCGATCGTAGGCCCCACAGGGCCGGAACGCCAGCGCCGTCGCCCATCAGACAAGGGGCTCGAAACTCAGCGGATTCATCATTGAGTTGGATCGGCACAACTGCCTGGTGCGTAGCCTGCTGGCTACCCTTCCCCACGCCGTTGACCACGACGGGGTGCACCATAGGCTCGAAGTGCGTCTCGTAGCCTGCCGTCTTGGCGATGACGCTCTGGCGTTCCACGAACTGCTTGCTGGTGAGGTTGTCGATCGCGCCGCTCTCGACCAGGAGTCCTTTGCGAGTACCTGGTAGCTGCGACGCTGAGTGGGCCTGGCAGCCCGCCCAAGAGCCCGCGATACGCACGTCACTGAGGTTGCTGCATCACAGGTAGTGGCGCTGAGTGCGCACCCGGGAGCTGCCTCGGCCGCGGCCGGCACGCTCTTCTCCACATTCCCAACAGTGTAAACAAGTCGTCGTAGACAGTACATTGATAGCAGAACTCCTTCTTGCAGTACTCGCACTCGTAGAGCTCATGGTAGCGTTCTGCCTCGCAGTTGTGGCAGATGTGGTCCTTGGCGACGTTGCAGTGCTTGAGCTTCCTGGGAGCCCCCTCCTCCTTCTTGCCAGCTGCCCAGGCCACGGGCTTGAACGGCGTGGCGCAGCTGTCGAGCGATGTTCTTCGAGAAGGGGAGGGATCCCCCTGCAGGTCAAACTCCATGCCTGACTCGGGGCCGGCGTCGACCGGAGTGAAGCCATGCATGCGCCACATCTTGCTGCTGCTGCCGGGCGCTGACACGTCGCTGCGCGCCTCGCCGCAGTAGTGCTTCCATGATCTCGGAGATGCTGGCTGATGACCTTCAGGTTCAGGTTGCAGCTGCTGAAGTGGTGGTTGCTCTCCCCCTGCATCTGAAGGGGACCACGTCAAGTAGCCGCCCAGGGAGGATCCTGCGGATGTCGGCGCTGGCCACGGAGACGGATGCGAGACAAGGAATGGGTTCGAAAACGCATCGTTGGGCCCCGCAGTCATCCTTGGCTTGCCTCCGCTTCCGAAGCGCTTCTTCTTCTGAGGACAGAAAGCTCGTAAGTGGCCATCGCTATCACAGATAGAGCAGCGAAGCGGCTCGCCATCCTTGCCCAGCGGGTTCTTCTTGTCCATCTGGTAGTCAAACCGTCGCTTCGGGGAGAACTTGAAGCGCGATCGCTTGTGCTGGAAGTGCCTCGGCCGAGAGTCGCGTCGTTCTCCATGCCCACGTCGATCTCCTCGCCTGTGAAAGTCACGACGTCGCTGGCCGAACTTGCGGAACTTGTTCCAGCGACGCGCGTGCTCGAGGAAGACCTGGCACTTGTCCTCGATCTCCTGGGGCAGGATGAGGTCGCCTCACTCGGCGCAGCTGCTCTCGTACTGCAGGCGCGCCGCCTGCGCCTGATCTTCGTCCTCGAAGTCCAGGTCGTCGTCCGAATCGTCGTCGCTCTCCACGAAGTCCAGCTCGTTATCGTAGTAGTACTCAGCGCACATGCTGCATGTCAAACATTCGCCACAATGCTGGCACTGGTTGGAGCCCGCGTTGTAGCTCTGGTGCATTGCCTGCGCCCGGGAAGGCATTCGGTCCCAGAATGAGCCTGACGAGCTGCCACGTTGCTGTTCGAAGGTCGGGAAGGCGGAGAAGTGGCCGCCCGCACCGCTCCACCGTTGCCCATCAAGCCTCG